TGGATTTGAAGCCTAGGGAGAGGAAGATTCCCAGTCACTGGTATGAGCATCATTTACTCTAAACCCTCGAATATGGCGTTATCGGGGATGGAAATTGAAGGCTTTTAGGCGGCGCGACAGTTTAGTAGTGATCAATTGGCAAGTGAGGTAGGAGGGGATTGAATGAAGGTCAGAAGCTCTGCAAACAGCACTTGGTACCTTGGCTAAGATAATGACGCTTCAGTAAACCCATTTTTAGATGTGCTATATGAAGTTGGGTTGAGAGGAGATGCAACACTAGAAGGTATAATGAAAAATAGAGGTGAGGAATGCTGCCACAGCGGTTGAACGGAAAATTGATCAAGGGGATTGCCTTCATTTGTCACTGATAAGTTGTAATTCTGTGCTAACGAGGGCGCCTCTCACTGACGATGCAGGAGAAATATTAGGGAATGTACCGAATCAATGGTTCGAAGCTGGATATTACGAATACTACAGCAGAGGATACAGGACTAAGTATGTTCTGCAAGGTCCTGACGATGCGACCAAGTTGCGAAAATAAGGTTGGACCATCATTATATAGCTAAAGAAGACTGCAATCAAGCAGAAGACCACTTCATCTTAGTCTTTATATCTACGAATTGGTATGATTGCTCAATATAGCATACCTCTAGTTGTGTAAACCATTTTTTTAATTTTTGGCCCTTATGTATATTTCCTTTTATTCTAAATACAGACCTTTTTTCCCTCTAATCATAATTTAATCCGGATAACGATTCGCCATAAGTTATCTTAGGCCATTTTGTTCCCAATGTATGTATTTTCGAGGTATTTCTTACATTTGTAGGATTTTCAAAGATAGACACAAAGATCTCTAAGAAGTTAAACCTGCAGATTTCTCTGATTTTTGCCTTTTCTCTAGTGTTTTTTTAAATTTATTCTGACCATTATTATGGCTGCTTTTGCTGTTGTAAACGAAATTCTCATACTTTTTATGCTTTATCAACTCGTCATTTCACACTGCTATCTTAATCAGCTGATTTTTTTCTCTTTATCTAGCATTATGAATATCTGAATTTAAATGATGTTTCGAAGGTGAAACGTTGCAATGCCATTGCAGTCGTACGATATCTTCGATCTCCAGCTAAAACTCGGGGGACTAGTTATTGTTTGCAAGCCAGTTTGACTGATCCATCTCTTTGTGGAGGCAAAATGACTTGCCTTTTCTTCGATGACGAATTGGAGTCACTGCCTCAGGTGAGAAAGTGTTGCGAGATTTCCTCTTACGACTTGCTTTCCGTCCTCTCAAATATTCACTAACCAACGGTGAGCCGAGGTATTCTTCGCACAATACACCAATATTACTTACGCGGCAATCCTTCTGTTTTCGATGAGATCATATCACGAATTCCTTCCAATCAACTTTTTCTTCGAAATGGAAATTCATGTCACAATACATCACTGAGGAATTCTTCGAAACCCAGTTTTTCTTCATAATTGACTTATATTTTTGGCCGAATAGTTCACTATAGGGTATATTAATGCTATTTATTACTTTTTATCATCCTTTATAAATTGATGGCACGTATCCGAGGCTATACATTTCTTTACCAACTCATAGTAATTTACACAGTACATTTATCATCTATTTGTTTTACCTAGTCGTTCGTGTGAAAACATTTGGTTTTTACCTCAGCTTAACCAATATAGGAAGCCATCAAACTGCGTTGACATGACATTTCATTCTACTTTTCGGTCTTAGCACGAGTTCATTGTCTCTGTTAGTGATTATGCGTGATCCTATGTAATTTTATCTTCTCAACTTGGCAAGGTATTCGTTCACTACTTTTTTCATGAAGAATTGATCTGACTTTACTTTCACAATCTATTACTATTTGCTGTTACATTTTAAAAAGCCAGGGTTCAGAAAAATTTTATTTTTTTCTATCCTCATATCACCCTCCCTACTCATTTTCCTAGCATTTTACTCTATAGTTGAGCATTTACTCAAGAGCCTTAGTATACCTAAGATAATTTGAATTTTCATTTATATTTGCGTAGCTTACTACTCCCGGTGATATCATTGTGGCGCATCGACTTGAAATACAGTCTGTGAATGGCGTCAACAAAGCTGTGGGATGTCGTTCGCGTGGATTTGCGGCAGTCGTTTTTGCCAGCCACTTAGATCAAGCCTGTCCAGTTGAAATGACACCTCGTGCTTCTCGTCGTTCTTGCAGAGTGAGTTTTCACTGTTCTTAAGATTAAGCTACAGATGGGCTTGTGAAGACTGGCATGATTAAAGTAAGTGCATAGATTAAACATCTGGCGACGCCTTAGAAAGCTATAGATTCGGTCACCATTTTCCTGCTTCTATTATTCTTTTCATATTTAAGATAAGTTTCCTCATTTTAAATCCTTAAAAAAACTAAATTTTCTTTTGCTCTTTCTTTTATCATTATGGCACAACCTTCTCTAAACAATATTCTAGTATGGAGTTTATGAGTTGCAAAAAGTAAAGCAGCTTAGAGAGTGGGCCAAGTCTAGTGCCTGCCACCTAGAGATGGAAACAGCTGCTCAGTCTCCTTATCCCTCTTTGTACATGGATCAACAGGACCTTTCGTTTGGTTCTTCAATAGTCGGAGAGTTTCAAGGCGTAGAACAATCACCCACTTTAGTGCAAGAACAAGAACTGTTAGATACTCTCCATCATCCAAAATCGATATCGCAACCTGACACACAATCATCAGGAATACGAGGAATGGAGTTCCAGCCTCCTATACATCAGGAGGAGCGCGGAAAATTCTG